GCACCGCAGCGAGGGGCGGTGGCACGGCCGTACCCTCCCCTCGGTGGCGGGGTCCCCTCAGGGGACAGGGGAGGCGTGTGAGGAGGAGGAGGAGGATGCGGGACGGAGGGGGGGGCGTAGGCCGGGCCCGCCTCCCTCCCCTCAGGGCTGCGGAGCGGGGGGCGGGATGTGTGATCCCGCTCCACCGGGGCTGCATGATCCACGGAGCGCTCCCGGGGGTGGGGGTCTCCCGGCTGGCTTCCGAGGCACACGGCGGAGGTGCCGGAGGGAGGAGCGAGTTGCCCCTCGCGGCCACCCCCCGGCACCTTCGTTGCCGTTTGCAAGCGGTTGCAACAGCACTTCTGAATTCCCTAAAATTCCAGTGTGATCGTTTATGCGCCTTACTATTAAAAACGTCAAAATTCAAACTCTTGTCTTCTTCCAGGTAGCTTTGAAACTGGCCCAGATGGCCGGGCTTTTTCGGAGGGAAAGGAGCAGCTCCCTGGTGAAAGTGGTGGAGACTCCCGGGACACCTGCACAGCTCTGGAGCAAGAGGTAGAGAACACTCATCTTTTCTGGGACATATTTCATAGAGAGGTGAAATATTCATGCTTTTAGCACCCAGAAAGACAGACTGCTCTAAACCACAGGCTTCCTGCACCCTGAGGGGTCAGAGCAGCTGTCACATCACGCTGGTTTGTCCCAAAGTGGCACCTCAGCAGTTCTGGTCCTTTATTGTTCTTCTCTGATCACGTAAATTTAGCCTGCATAAAACCAAGTTTTGTTCTTAACAGGCATTCCCAAAGCTCACAGTGACATGTTTTCTTGGAGTGATCACGTTTCTTAGTGTTTTCCACCTTGAGGGAACCATCCATGGTTATTTGGGGTGATGGTGCAGTCACAGCAATTGTTAATTCAGCTCTTCATAACGTTCCTTGAGCACTTTCTTGGGGGTTGGTTTGTTCCCTCGCAGTTGCACATCCTGCCCACAACTCACACTCATGTTAATGTGCAGCAGGAAGTTCCTCCTCTGAAGCAATCATGGAGTGAGAGTTTGATGCTATTTTAAGAAGAGTTTCTCAGGCAGTCAAATTGAGTGAAAGAGATCGGTTTTATTTCAGCTGACCGTTTACCACTTGAGCTGGCGGTAGAAACCTATAAAAACATTTCACTTCACCAGCACACAACTCAAGAAAAGCCTGCTAAGGGAGATTAATGTAGAACCTCGTCAACATGAAAGCCAGAAGAGCTTACAGGAGATGTATTCTGTTGAACAGGAAGCAGTCTGAGCTTCCATTATTAATGGATAAGAGTGTCAAAGTAAAAAAAAAAGTTAAAAATTGCTCATTACAGTAGAAAACTTGCTGATCCAGAGAGGCAGAATCTGCCTCACAATCGAAAAATGAAAATACAGTGAGTAATCCCACCCTGAAGAGGAGCAGCAACCGTTGCCTTCCAGAAAAAAGCGTGGTGTTGACGATAATTCCTCAGCCCTGTTCAGCCACATGTGGGTTTCAGATTGATTCGCTCTGGAGATGGTCTTGCCCAGTGCACTAGGTTGGTAGGAGAAAGGATGGGAAAAAGAAATACAAGAGAACCTTGGTTTCTCTGAGAATTTCTGAGGGAATTCCTTTTAAGCAGAGACCAAGAACAAGTGAGAGTATGAAAAACTGGATGAGAAGTGATCTGCAAAACACACAGGGAAAGGTATTTAGAGGTACAAATGGACACCTTTTATGATATTTCAGGAGAAAATACATCCAACAGGTAACGCTGGCTCTTAATAGTTGCAAAAAAATGCAGTTCAGAAAAAGTTTAACATAATTTTATTCAGGGAAGAGGAAAATATTGTTGACTGGAGTTCCCCATGTCTGGGAACACACATCTTCACATATTCATTGTGTACATGGGTGAAGGATGCAGTGTCTTAACACCAGCCTTCTGTGATTTCAGATGAAGGAGTTTTGCTGTTAAAGCAGTTTGGTCACAGGGGGCTCCAACAGAAAACGGCACCAGGACAACATCACAGCGAGACGCCCACGGGCTCGAGTTCTGCTTGACATGGCCATGTTCTACTAGACCTGCCATGACGGCATTTTTTCCCAGTGTTCCCAACTGGATTCAAGATGCAAAGCAGGAGGAGGAAGAGACAGGCTGGAAATTAGTCCCCAGACCAAGAGGTGAAGAGACCGAAAGTCAGGGAAAATGCCAGTGTGAACTATCAGAGCCCTCCTTCCCTCACGTGGACAAGCTGAGAACTCACACACTTTCCCATTCGGAGCAGAGGCCCTACAACTGCCCCCAGCTGCACTGTGGCAAGGCCTTTGCCTCCAAGTACAAGCTCTATAGGTAGGTATCTGCAAGTGCCTCTGCTCAGCAGTGCCAGGAGAGAGGGGAAACCCCCTCCCTCGTGTGTCTTTGCTTGAATTTCTGAGAAGTTGGAGGAGGGGAAATGCCCTTTTACCTTGCAAAGCTGTTGAGTCCCAGACATTACCATACTTGGCATCTCTTTAGGCACCTTCCAGAGAACTTCAGCTAATGCTGTGTCCTGAGCTCGAGGTGTTTTCTGTTTCACTGAGGAGGAAATAGGAACAGAAAGTGAAGTTCATAGATTAAAAAACAAAATGAAAAGCAAGAATAGTGTTTGCATTCATAAGTCTTGCCTCTAATCACAGGGATAATTCCATGACAGCTTTTGCTCCAGTATGGAGAAGCAGAGTTCCCATTTATGTAGTAAAGTACAACACAAAATAATTAAACAGTGACAGCTGAGAACTTGAAATCAGATGAACCACAGTGTGGGGGAGTATGAGATACCAAGGTGAAATCAGACCACAGTGGCTGTCAGCAGACTTGGGCACAGCCTGACCCTCCTGATGAACTGAAGTTTTCTGCTAATGCCACAGACTAGGGAAGTTTTCTTTGGCAGCCTCAGCAGAGAGCAGGAGCTGAGGAGAGACAGCTGCTGGGACAGACTGTAGGTTTTGCCTGAAGCATTGTGCTCCTGTGCTCCTTGTTTAGTGGAGATAAAATGCCATCTGGGATTTTTGTGGCATAAAGTGTAGGACACAAGAAAAATTTTGGAAAACTAGCATGTGTTCCCTCAGGGGCTGGATGTTTGTCTGACCTTTCCTGCTTTTCTCACCTAAGGCATATGGCCACGCACTCTGCTCAGAAGCCTCACCAGTGCATGTACTGCGAGAAGATGTTTCACCGGAAGGATCACCTTCGGAACCACCTGCAGACCCACGATCCCAACAAGGAGGCCCTGCACTGTCCCGAGTGCGGCAAGAACTACAACACCAAACTGGGCTTCAGGCGACACCTGGCCATGCATGCGGCTGCCAGCGGTGACCTCAGCTGCAAGGTGTGCCTCCAGACCTTTGAGAGCACCCAGATCCTGCTGGAGCACCTCAAAGCTCATTCCAGGCGGGCTTCAGGAGGGGCGAAGGAAAAGAAGCATCCGTGTGACCACTGCGATCGGCGCTTCTACACCCGGAAAGACGTGCGGAGACACCTGGTAGTGCACACGGGGCGGAAGGACTTCTTGTGCCAGTACTGTGCTCAGAGGTTTGGGAGGAAAGACCACCTGACCAGGCACATGAAGAAAAGCCACTCCCAGGAACTGCTGAAGATTAAGACGGAGCCAGTGGACATGTTGGGTCTGCTCAGCTGCAGCTCCTCTGTGGCAGTGAAGGAAGAGCTGAGTCCTGTCCTGTGTATGGCATCCAGAGACATGATGGGTGGTAAGAGTTTCCCTGGCATGCTGCCCGTGGGCATGTACAGCACACATCTCCAAACCATGCCAAGCTCAGGGATGCCCCATTCTTTGGTTCCTAATTCTCTTCCAATGGGAATGAGCTATCCTCTGGAGTCTTCTTCTCCCATCTCCTCCCCATCGCAACCTCCTCCAAAGTATCAGCTTGGATCTACCTCATATTTGCCTGAGAAGCTACCCAAAGTAGAGGTGGACAGCTTTTTGTCAGACTTCCCTGGCAGCCTGTCTCTCTCATCTGGTGATCCTCAGTCCTCTTCGCCTCAGCCACCTGCCCTGGATGAGGCTTTGCTTTCCAAGAGCCCTGCTAACCTCTCAGAGGCTCTCTGTGCTGCTAACATGGACTTTTCTCATCTTCTTGGCTTCCTCCCCCTAAATCTTCCTCCTTGCAATCCACCTGTCTCATCGGGGGGATTGGTCATGGGCTACTCGCAGGGGGAGGCGCAGCCACTGCTCACCACTTTGCAACATCAACCTCAAGAGTCTCCCGGAGCCGGGGCCTCACTGAACTTTGGGCCCCTTCATTCATTGCCCCCCGTCTTCACCTCCAGCTTGAGCACAACCACGCTGCCGCGGTTCCACCAGGCATTCCAATAAGCTGGAAATAGCACTGGAGAACAGATCTTTCAGTCACCCTTTTGTGGAGAGCCTTAAAAACGCACAACTCTTCCTTCCTTGGGGGTGTGAAAGCTCTGGCAGAGCTGGGTCAGACAGGAGGTTTCTGATCTTGGAGGGAGCACTTGTAGACTGGAACAGCCGATATCCTGTGTGAGTCCCAGTCCTGTACAGCAGAAGATTTCAGCTGATAGACTGGATATATTTTATCTAATTTTTAATCTGTGAATCAGGAGCCGCGCTTAGCACTGACCTTCCCTGAGAATGCTGGAGCTATGTTCCTCTCTGGGAAGGGACTGTCCCTCAGAAGGAGTTGAGACTCTTTCATCCTGGGCTAAACTTTTGAAGAGTCCAGCTTCCATTTCGTGTTGCCACACTGCAATTCTGGCAAACCAGCCACACCTCCACATGAAGAAGAAGTCATGATACCGCTCTGTATGAAGCCAATGGGGAAGAGGCTGTCCTTCCCTGCTACCTCTCATCCCATCACCCAACACAGCTTGCTCCACATCAGTGTTAAGCAACAAGCCCGTTTACATAGTGAATTCAGCGTCACCTCTTTGTAGCCATTAGGATAAACTCATTATGGTGAACATTGTTTACACAACACAAATCTGTTTCTGCCATTGCAAAAATAGGAGGCACCAGAATACACTGGGTTCATCTCTGGTGTAGCTAGAACACTGTTTACACAACGAAGTCAGGTTGCACTGATTTCTCTTCACTTATCATGTTCTTCCCCCATGGGGAAATACACTGCTTTTGGACCACTTCAGCCTCTGCCCCTGTAGGCAGCAGCTTCCTGCCTTTTCTTGCTAGCTATCCCGAGTGAAGGGGATGGAGCAGCTCTCACAGCTTAGCTTGGTGTGCAGTGTATGGACAGAGCCCTTTTAAATATGTCCCCCAGGCAAACAGATCTGGAAACCAAAGCACGTGAGAGAGCTGGGTGAGGAGCTTGGGACATCGAGCACTGGCATACCAGGCATGAGAACAGGCTGCAGGCCCTGCTCCATGGGTTCCCTCAGGATGAGGAACAGAGTATGAGTTTCTTGGGTTTGGGGTTTTTTAACCATGGCTATTCATTGAGGTCAGCACCCTTTTTGGTTTGTCCAAAAAGCAGTTTCAAAGGTATATTTTAACCTCAATGGTGGTAGCACCCAAGAATCAAGGAAAAATTGGTCCCAGCTTCTTGTACACACTGTCAGTGTATTTGAAGCATTTCTCCCAACATCAATAGTTCTAACAAATGCTGAGGTTTGGGGCCTGCAGTCAACTTTTCACTTTGGTTTTGGTTCCACTGGCCTCCTGAAATTAAAGTCCTGCTTCCCTTGCTCCCTGCCCTACCTCTTAAACTCTTCCATGGGCTGTCTACCTGCCAGGGCAGAAGGGTTATACTGGGAAGTGGCAGCCAGCTGCTGGTGTCATTTTGTCACCTGTATTGTCTCCTGCTCCTGTTTTCCTGGGCACTTAGACCGCAGATGGGGACATACGGAGGTCACCCTGCACTGGTGCATGTTTATGACTATGGACAGGCAGATCTTCATACCTCAGCATGGAGGAACCATTGTAGGCCAATATAAACCAGGAAATCTGTCAATATTCTCCATAAATTTAGGAAATGCAAAATCTACCTCTACTCTGTTATCTCAGCTCCTTGGGTGAAGCCAGATGCTGTCCTCCCTTGTCTCCCCAGAGCATATCCACCTCAGTTGATGCAGATTCCTTCCTGCTGAGCCATGATCCCACTGCGTGACATCAGCTGTGCCTCTTTTGGTTACAGGCTTGTCCCCCTTCCATTTTACTCCAGAATTTTATTTTTAATTTAGTTTAGTAATTCTTCCCAGAATGACTCTTTAGCAATCCATTGATTCTCCAGAACATAGATCGGTTGTTTTAGGTTAGCCAGCAATGCTGCAAATAAGACTTTTGTATCAAAATGTAATATAAGATTTATTTACCTCAGCAATATCCTGTGGCAATGATCTCCCCGAGTTGAATGCAGTACTTTTTCCTTTTCTCCACTGGAAAATGTTGCCTTTCCAAGTCCAACGAGTGCCTTCTTGTTCTCTAACCTAGCAAAGGTAAACGGGGCATTGCAGCCAGTCTGTTTACCAGCATTGAATACCTCAGGCCTGTCTTCTATTGCTTTGCTCTTTGCAAATTAAAGAGTTTCACACTGTTATCAATTATATGCAAGCCTTATCCCTGTCTTCAGTTGAGAGGATTATTATTTTTTGAGAAATAAATGGTCAGAACTGATCACTGACTGCCAGTGAGGATTATCAGATTTATGCAATGCCATCACACACCTTGTCCCACCACAGAACATTCAGCTTTCTTGCTTCCTGCCTGCATTGTACTCTGAACAGATGTCATCACTGGAATTCCTTTAGCAGTGGTAGCTAAACTTAGAGCCAGGCATCTTTTTCCTACCAGTAGTCTGTCAAAGAATAAATGGAATTCATTTTGCTATGATTTGCATGTGTGATTTGCTTTCCACAGCTACTTTAACAAGGAGAACTGCAGTAACCTTTGTCAGTGGAAGGAAAATCTAACCCAGCAAGGGCAGTGTGGTCAGAGGCAGCACTGGAGCTGATTCCAGGTGTTTGCACAGGAAAATGGACTCAAAGTTCCTCTAGCACAACAGCTGGTAATCTGAAAATATTTTACCAGTCAGTCTAAAACTAACGAGACTATTCCCTTTGAAATAGCAAGTGTGCAATTCACAGAACAAATTATAGTGAACAATTTTTACCTCTTTATAAGAAAATACTTCAAGCATCCAAGCTTACAGCATTTGGGAATCCCAGTCCACTTGGACATGTGTACCAAGCTCTTAGGCAAGTCAGTGGAAGTCAGCTTAGCCCAGCTCCTGCTGATGCAGCTGGAGGTAAGGGACAGGGGTAACCTTGGCATGCTGTGAGGGGGATTGCTGCAGCACAGGCTACGATCTGTTCTGTGCTGGATGTGCAGGGCTGTGCTGGATGTGTGGTATTAAAAAAAAAAATCATCCCAGAAAGAGTTTGGGTTTGATTTTTGTTTTGGACCATGAGTTTGGGGCTGCAGGTCCAGGACATGGCTGTGAGTCAGGCAGGCAGAGCCCAGTAAACCATTTCACTGTGATCCCTCTGTTCTGGCATACCTGTACCAGGAAGTACAGGTGCAATGTACCAGATTGAGCCCAAGGGCAGCAACTACAGCACACTCGTTCATGAGGGCTTAGTTAAATAAAGGAATGTTTTAAATTGGCTGTCTTGGGGGGTGTCCAAAGCAATAGGAACAGTGCAGTCAACTAAGATATGAACCCATAGACCTCCAGTCAGCAAAAGGACAGGACATGAACTTGCCAGCCCTTACAAATCAGACCCTGGATTCTCAGAAAGCCAAGGACTTAATGTTCCTCTAGAAATAAGAACTAATAAACAGCCAAACCACTCCCTGGCAGCAGAGGGTTAACCCTTGCCCATCCTTTCAAGCTCAGATTGCCAGAACCCTGTGAAAGGCTGAAGATCTTTTTCCCCTTGGGATTACAGCTCACTTAAAATCCATTTGTAGGAAGGAACAACATGTTATCTTGCATTTGCTTCCACTGAATTTCACATGACAGAATACCCACACACTGTGTTGTGACAGACCCCGTTCTCTGTCTCACAACATTGCTGCACTTTAGCCTGTGTTGAAAAATGGTGTCACTTCAACTGGAATCCTTTATTCACCTCAGGTAGATTGATGATTTCAGTACTTTTGTTGAGCTCAGCTCTTTGTTCTTTAATTCCTTCCTTGCTGACAGGTGAACAGCAGCTGCTGGGAAGATTTCCTGCAATTCACTGAAAAAATCCCCTTTTCCTTTCTCTACCATTGCACCACCTTTGCTCTCTGGATAGAACAACCCCACAGAGCATTTTCTGCTGCCTGCAATTAAAATTTCCAGAAATAAATCTTCAAAGAGGTGCTTCCCATCACACTACCTTCTTGCTTATCCTCTAATCCCAGTTAGTCAGGCTGACTGAATTCTCCCTCTGGTGACTATTTTTAGTTAATTGCCTGCCCAAGCCCTAGAGCTATTCTGCCACTGAACAGTGAAGTAGATGAATGGCTTGAACAGAACCACTTCAGGTTTCCATCCTCATCCAAAATTTTTGTCTTTTCCATAACTTATTTCTTGTATTTTTCCCAGTTCCTAGAGATGGGAGCTGCCACCTGAAGCTCTGAATCCCATCCTGTATGGTAGGGAGAAGGTGGTTTTGTTTAGTCTGGTCTGCTGGATCTGGGAAGCCCAGATTGTTTTCACCCCAATCCCCAGTTCTGGCACCTCACACCCTTTCCATGCCTGTGTACCATAATGTGCCACAGCCATATGAGCCTCTCTTGGAAAGCAGCTGGAAGCTGCCAGGAAGATGCTATTAGCACTGATCCAGCTGCTTTACAGGACCACTGTTCCTATTCCCCACCACCTCTCAGGTTCTGATGTCCCTGCTGCACGATCCATGCACACTCACATCAGGCTCACCTCTGGCTATTCCCACTGATGGACTTGCTTCCTTCTAGTGGATAATTGGGATCCCCTGAGAATCCTACACATTTCAGCTACTCTTGTGGCTGCAGGTGAGGAGTTTTCTCCTGTTTGCAGTCTCTACCTGGAGCCAGTTCTACATCTTCCCACAGGCCAAACATCACTTAACACTTCAGACTAGCATGCAAACAGGTCAAGCAAAAATGGAACTGGTGTTCAGAAATGAGACCAGAAAACAGATCACATTCTGCTTCTCACAAATCCACACCAGGAGATGAGCTTGGCTTTCTTGTTCAAAATATATTTTATTTCCATGTGCAGAGGTGGGCTGCAGGAGCCTGAAGCACCTTCCTCAGTCTGTGCTTGTGGCTGAAGCCAGGTTTGTGAGGTCCTTTCCACCAGTGTCTAAATACCAGCATGAAAATAGAACATACATGACACAGGGAGCTTCTCTGTATCAGATCACAGTGACAAGGAAAGTTAAAAGCATTGCAAAAGATAACCAGGGAATTTGGAATTACTTTTTTTTATTACTATAAATAGGTCAGCTCTTCAGCTGGGGGAAGAATCCTCAACATTGAAGTGTCTTGTTACAAACCAACCATCCCTCACTTTTGTGTCTTTGTTTTGAACTACTGTGCAAGGGGATAACCAGCTCTAGCATGGAATGTGCTGAGTGGACAGGGACAGCCTCCAACACCTGGGACAGGCCAGGCTGGCTGAGTGTCCAGGTGAACAGGCCAGGGACCTGCCTGCAGCCCTTCTCCCTCTGTAGTCAGTGTCTTGTGCTTGAAGCTAACACACGAGCTTTGCTCACAGCCCTCAGCAGCACAACCCACTTCAGGGTGCAACACGAGGGTGCAGAAGCCTGCACACTGCAACACATCCCAGAAATCCTGCTAGAAGCCTCTCTGGAGTTTGAGTTCTTCTCACTGAGTGCCTCAGCCTCGATGCTTTGTGGAGCTTTCCCATTCTAGCGATTCCTGATATCTAGGGCGACTTTTAGAAAGACTGTTTTGTAACCTTTGAGTGTTTTCCTTAAAAGAGGATATTGAAGAACACAGAGCTGTCTGCTGATGTACTCTTGAGACCCGGGGTGGCTACAAAGAGGACAAAAAAGAACCTGTAGAACCCCTGGGAGCAGCCAAGCTCCAAAACTGCTGCTGGAAGAAAAGCTACTGAGTGGCCTTTGCAGCCACAAGTCATGCCAAGAACCCTCTCCCAGCACAAGCTCTGCCATCTCCCACAGGAGCCTGTAAACTTCCCTTTGGAAGGTGAAGGGTTTGGGATTAGCCATGGGAGGGGATGGGAAAGCCACAGTGCCCCTCCCCAGGGCTGCCATTCACACTGTCCCTTCTTGTGCTGGTTCTGGACAGGCCTCGTGCCCAGCCTCCCTCCCTGCAGCTACAGCTGCCAAAGCCAGAAACTTCCCATTGTTAAAGCTCTACTGGTTTTCTAAAAACAAACTTTCTAGCACTTTTACACAGAGTGAATAACCTCTTTTAATGGAGTATTTTGGGGGCTGTAAACAAGGTTTTTAAATTGTAATTAAGTGCCATTAGAAAATATATGGTTCATCACTAAAATTAGCTTTTGCAAAATGAAGTTCAAATTGAAAGCATCTTTTATAATGAAGTTGTTTATTAAAAGCATTTGGATGATCTACCCCAGGTGTCTTCATAGAGGGGAGTTTGGGTTTTGGTTGGATTAAGACAAGACAGACTCATAAGGCAGGTCAAAGACACAGTTCCCTACATGAAGCCACAGAGGTTTTTAAATTTCTTCCAAGCAAAGAATTAAACCCACAAGAAAAAACCCAGCACCCCACTGGGGAGGCAGCCACAGCAGACACCATTATCCCCTGTCAAGGAGAATGATGTTTATTAGACAGAAAGTTCTGGTCGCTTGGTTTCACTAAAATTTCCAGCCCATGTAGCAGCACTTCAGACAAGTCCAGCCCACTCCCCCTCACAAATAACTCTGACATGCTCTGCTTCCCACAGGCAGGAAAACCAGGACCAAACCTCAGCTTAAGCTACAACTGGCTGCAGGCACCAGCAGCATTTGAAGATGAAACAGGGCAAAGCACACAGGGCCCTCTTGGGATTCTCCTTCAGAACAGGGATTAAAAGCTGACAGCCATGATCAGTAATAGGTGCTTGTTTGAGAATGATCTAGTTTTCAGTTCTAGTTTTCATTTCTAATTCAGCCACCATTAAAATGTGCCCTTTCCTCAGCAGCTTTTCCCTGGTGCTGAGGACTGTGACAGAACATGAATTCACTCATCTGCCAAAAATGAGAAATAAATTCAGCATAGATTGTCCTGATGGTGGAGCTGAAGAAGGGATTATTCTGATGATTTCTGAGTTTTGATTCAAGTATTTGCCAGCTCTGGTCTCACTCACAGGCACTCAGCAGCCCCCAACACTGGGCTCTGTAACCTGGGGGAATCACATCCATTGCTCTGCTGGGCAAACCATCTCAGGAAAAGGGAATTTACTTTGCCTCCCTCACCCAGCATTCCAGCAGAGACTCATTGATCTCCTGCCACACACCCCCCAGCAGAAACACACAAGCTCTGGGAAGCAAATGGAGCTGGAAGCCAAAGCTGGGGGTTCAGCTTCTGCAGCAGCAGCACTCCTCAAACTCTCACTCAAAGGAAGGAATGACAGCTCCCTTCCAAGCTGTCCTTTCCCACTCTGCTGCTCTAAAGCACTGCCCAGCACTGCCATCCAACAGTTCTGCTGCTCTGCCCTTCAGTGCCAAACATCAAACAACATGTCTCACACAAAAGACACAAGTTGCTCAAGTGATCTTACCCAGCAGCACAGCATCAGCAGATCAAATGCCTCAACTGGTGGCATAATTACAATATATGTCAGCATTCGGGGCATGCCACAGTGGGAGAAACTTAGTTTGCCAGGAGGAAATTATAACAAAGAAAACCAGAGTATTCCAAGCTCTGCTTCTGGCTGAAGCCACACATCACAGACCACATGGGTGTCAAACAGGCCAAGTGCTACAAAAAGAAATTCTCCAGAAGTGGCTTAGGAGAACCCAAGAGAGCAGGATGACAGGACAATGGCAGATTTATTTACAATAGGACATGAAGAATACATACATTAATTAAAAATTACAAAGAATACAGAGAAAACACTTCAGGGAAGGGAGAGGAATCAATGCTGGCTGAGCCTCTCCACTGGGGCAGGGGCAGAAGAAAAAAAAAGAAAAAAATAATCAACAAAAATCTCAGAGGGACCTCAAATCAGAACTGACACAGGACTCCACAGCACAGCTGGCTCACACATCCCCTCCTCCCTTTTTCCATCCATGATTCCTGGCTGATTAGATTCTGGCATGACGGGCAGGGCCAATAGGAAGGGACACAGGCCCTTGCATGGACCTGGTGGAAACTTATGGCAATTGGGGTTTAAAATAGGCCTCAAAGCCCTCTCTGGGAGCAAGGAGGGCTTTGGACAGTTTTGGGTTGGAATGATGTGACCTGTGGCAGCTGATCATTGGAAGACCTTACTCCAAGAAGAAAAAAATTCACAGAACTCACTAAAAAAACCTCTCCTCTGTAGTCCTGGCTGAATCCAGTGAATCTGGGGATGAAGGGAGCCTTCACTGCAACATGGAACCTTTTCACTGATAAACATCACTGAAGTGACCAAAATAAAAAAAAAACCCAAAAAACAAACAACCCAACTTTAACCTCTTTTGAAAAGAGCTTCCCACAGGCTGATTCAGGCATCAAGCCATGGGGAAAGAAGAGCCCATGTCAGCTATCCAGGAGAGCTTGGACTGTTTTTTGTGGAGAAGAACAAAATACAGCTATGGGGTGTACACTTTTCCTGTTCCCTGGAGGTAGAGAATTTCAGAGGAGGAGCAGAGAGCAGCAAGGGCAGCCAGAGCACAGGGCCAGCAAGAGAGCCCCGCTCCCAGCCATGGGACAGCTCACGGGGCCACCTGCCTGTGTCAGCCCCTTCAGCATGGTCTGCACAGCCCTCGGGCAGCTCGGGCCCAACACTGCCTCACATCACTTGGCACTAATGCCACGGCACCACAGCCATCTCTGCAGGATCCCAGTGGCATTCCCAGGAAGGAGCCTGCCCTGATTCCTCACTCATCCAGAGCAGAGCTATTGACAGAGCAAACTCTTGTAGTTACCTCGCGCATCCTTCCAGTCCTGTATTCCAGCACAACCACATCACTTCCATCAGGACGTATTTTCCTGCCTTCTGGAGAGGCAATCCCACCCTCCCACAGTGGCCTGTGCTGTCCGAGGCTGGAGGGAGGGAGGAGCGATGCCAAAGGTTGCTCAAGCTCTCTCAGGTGAAATTGCACTTCCCAGGCTCTGAATGGCACCTCCAGCAAATTGTAAACAAGCCGAAGCCGGGACTTCGGTGATCGGAGTGCGCCGGACTCCCGCTGGGTGAGCCTTTAGGCTCTGGTTATTCTGCCATAGTCAAGCTCCCTCTTCCGTGCAGACACGAAGGCAGGAGAAAAAACCAGTCTGATACTTGTCTGAAGAGTCTCCCTGAATCCTAGAGCACCCCAGGGGCTGGAAGAAAACGATTTCAACAAGTGTTTCCACTGCTGTCTCAAATCCGTTCATCATCAACATAAAAAAAAGGATGGATTAGCAAAAAGGGGGTTTACTTATACAGAGGGATATTTCTCTGCTAAAAAACTCCCTCAATTATGGAACAGGATAATAAAGTTAAAATGTAAGGTATCTACAGACCCCTTTTCCCCACAGAAGTAGCCCAGAATCCATGTACACTGTGCCAAAGTTACATTCCAAATCGAGGAGTTAATTATTTCTCTTGTGACTCTCCCACTGGATTTTTGTTTCCTTAAAAAGAGCTGGGAGAAGATGTCCCTGTCCCTCCCGGGAGGACACATGTTCAGAGGTGTCTGATTCCTGCTGGGGGGATTCCAGCTTCAGTCGATTTTCACAGCAGCGTAAATCTTCCGCACAAACATGTAGGCTGCGTAGAAACCAATGGTGCCCGTCAAGAGCCAGAAGGACAGGACCATGAGGGCAGTGTAGCCAAAGTACAGTAAGGAGGGAATGAACTCAACAATATCCAGCTGAAACAGAAGAGGATGAAAAAAATCAGCAAAATAAAGCGCAGAGGCAATAAACCAACCAGTGCCCTCTGCAAGGGGAGCTCTGGCAAAGGGAGGAAAACTTTCATTTTTGTCCAGCTGAAGGGAGATCCCCTTTGAGGTGCGGTCAGAGAATGTTGTTCTGCACAAGTCCTGGGGCACACCCTTCTCTCCTGTTTGGAAGGGCTGCCAGCACTGCCTTGGGCTGGCATGGGCAGACTAGGACTCAGCAGGCCCACCATATCCTTTCCCAAATCCCACAGTCACCCCCAAAAACACGGCACTTTCACCCAGGAGGAATACCTTGTTCACAAAGTAGAAGACAGCATAGATCAGTACGTAGAAGGCAGATCCTCCAGACACCAGGAAGGTCCTCCACCACCAGCGGTAATCCTGACAGGATAAAGAGCCTCATTATCCCCCTGGACCTTCTTCTCTCCAGGCACTGCCTCAGGGAAGCTGTGGCCATTCCAGAACAGGGAGAACACTACCCATCTTCCTTCAAAGGAAATCCACAATTTGGGACTGGGGGGCTTTTTTTGTCACAAAAGTGTTTCCAAATCAAGAGATGTGATGCTGACAGTCAGGCTCAAAGCACCTGCTGCCCAAGGACATGGCTCACCTTTGGCCCTGCATTTTGTTTTGTATGTGGATGGAATGAAACAGCAGTTTGGGAACAGCTCAAAACACCCTGTGTCCAGCAAAATTCCTGGTATGAAACCACAGTTCCCAGCCTAACAAATAATCAAGGAGCTTTAATTCCCTTTAGAGTGAAGAGACATTTGGAACAATCACAGCTGTGAAGCTGGGCCACACTAATCTTTGCTGAGCAGCAATAATGTGATCTGTGTTTTTCCAGGAGCAAGTACCCTCAGCTACCCGAATTACAAACATGGAAATCTCACCTCAGCACAGAGCTGGAAATACACCATGACAATGCTGATCTGGGAGCAGGATACCACCAGAATTATAAACACCAGGAAGAGGAAGCCAAAAAGGTAATAGAACTGGTTCTCCCAGATTGCCTGAAATAAACACACAGCAGGAATTTGTTCCCATGTTACTGTGATCAATCACTGAACGTGGGACTAACTTCTAGCAGCCAGCCAGGGGAAAATGAGGAGCCCCTCAGCCTCACCTAGATGAAACCACAGATTTAACGTGTTTCACAATGTCACTTCAAAAGATTCAGGTTGCAAAAAGGTGCACATGGACAGCTCTGAGGTAGCTTGTTCATTCCCCTGCATCTCCCAAGCAATGGAATTGCTTGCTCTGGGGAAGCAAATTTTTCCCCGTCCACACAAGGTGAAAAATGGGCAGCAGCACAACAGTGACTGTCTCAAGACCAAGACCCCTCCTTGATGTAATGTTACAGTAAATTTTTTCTTTACCACAATTGTTCAAGCCACCAGGAGAGCCCCATAGCTCGCTCTGGAAACTACTGAATGGCCTGGAAGAAACCAATTACCCCTTTCAAAGAATACAGGAATAGGAGACTGCTCCAGTGGAAGTGCCCTCCCTTTCAAAAGCTTTGGCATGAAAGGAATCCTATTGAGGAGGAAAGTGGGTTAAATGCTTACACTAAAAATGAAGAACAGTTCGATGAACATGGCTCCAAAAGGCAGAATACCAGCCATGAGGATCCTAGAGAGCAGAAACAAAAACCATAAGCAGCACAATAAAACTGTCTGGACATTAAAAATTCCTTGTAACCACACAGAACACTCCAAGCAAAGGCTCTACATTTCCAGGTTACTAAATTTCAGAGGCAATGTCACAGCTGCTCCCGCTGTTGAGCACGTACCATGGCTACAAGTACCCCTCATATAACATCCAAACTATTGATGCTGTCTCAAGAAACCCGATCTGCCATCTGTCCATGTCCAGAGAGCAGCAGCAGGTGACGCTCAGCAACCCAAGGGGAGCGAGGGGAGGGGGCTTAACTCACCGTATTTCCCAGACACTTATCACTCACCCCACAAATTTGTTCATATACCACCTCTGCTCCGGGATCTGCCTGGGAATCTGATTTGTCCGTACAGGATTGTCATAGGGCTGCTTGCGAAATCCAAAGTAGTAACCCAGGTAGACCAAGGGCAAGGAGATCCCAAACCACATGCAGAGCAAGGCCACCATGGTAGGGAAAGGCACCTGGAATCACACCAAGAGCCACAGAAGTGAGGCTGACAGCTCTCCTACCCTAGGGACTGATGTCATCGGCCAAGCCAACCCTCCAGACACCCACTTGGAAAGGTCTGGGAAGCCAAGTGAGTCCCTATCAGCCCAGTGACCCTCTCCCACCCAGCAGGCCCCAGGCTGAGGGTGGCACCTACCGCACCAGAGGAGTGTTTCCCCCAGATGAAGCAGTTGAGGACAAAGCAGATGCCGAAGACAACGCCTGGGTACAATGTTGCTGTCTGCAAGAGGAGCCACAATGTAAGAGAGAGCACCTGACTCATCAGCCAGATGTTCCTATGGAATGAGTCCATTACTGCTACAAGGCACACATGGAAGAAGTGTCCCTTTTGCTAAAAGACAAGGAGACAGAGCTGAGCTGTGGGGAGGATCTTGCACAATCCTCTTTGCTCTAGTACATGCTCTGGTGGTGCCTATTCTGTACAGCTACAAGGACTGAATCCACAGCAAAAGTGCAGCACAGTCAGACTCTGTCCAGCTACCATAAATGTGTGAAGCTTATCCACAGATCTTGCCATCAGCAAACCTGGATAAACAGCACAGAACATTCAAGACTCACACAAAAAGCTCCCTTCTTCCATCGATGGCCTTTCAGAGTCCGGTATAAGCGGCCAGCAAAGAATCCACCAAAAACCCTGGACAGAAACAAGCCAAGACAACAAAAATGAGCTGTTGTTGCTGGGGAGAGGCAGGACAGCACAGGGGGGAAGCCATGGAGGCACCTACCCCATGAACATGAAGAGGAAGCAGGCAGTTGTCATCAGCGCACCCCGGCTCGAAGGCGACAGCATCCCCAGCATAGCAACAACTGCAGAGGGAAACAGGAACAGCAGCTCTGAGGGACATGTGCTGCAGCAGCTGGAGGACAGCGGCCTGTCCCATCTGCAGCCCACAGCTGCCTGCAATCTCTGCACAGGCCTGATTTCCTTCACCACATCACACATCCACAGCCTCCAGCACCAGGCAGAGAGGAAAGCACAGCTTTGATCTCAGCTACAGACCATGCTTCAGCCTGAGCTTCCCCAGGGATGGGAGCAGGTGCAGCTCAGCAGGCAAGGCACACCTGTGCAAGTCTTCCAGCCCACTATCAGCCAGGGCTCACAGCTTGGCAAAGGAAATACAAAGCTGCCTTCAGCTGGGCAATGTCATCCAGCAACTCTGCAGTACTGAGCCCAGGCTGAGGGCAACAGGAAGCAGCTTCACAGGCCTCGCTCCAGATAAGGTGAGCACAGGGTGAAGTCAAACATCCTCAAGCATCATTCATATTACAGCCACCCCGTGCAACACGTGCCACTTACAGATGACAATCAGGATCATACAGAAGAGCTGAATTCCAGAACCCAGGAGAGAGCTGAGGATCATAGGGTACTGTGGAGGCCTGAAGACATCTCCATGCACAAGTTTCCAACCAGATTCCTCCATGGTATCTTCCTATAGCAACAACAGAAAAAAGGTTATTTAGATGTGATGTCCCAGTGGAAATAAGGCCCTACCACAGTCAGCCTAAGAGGTTAACTTCCCTGGATCCAGTTTTTCTACTGAATTTCTCCACTCTAGCCAGGAAACTTCTTTCCTCTTGGGCTGAGACCTGAATTGCTGGTGCCAGGGCATACATTTACAGGGGTGTCTGCAGTCATTGCTTAGGTCTGAAGATACCTGAACTGGTATGTGATTGTTCAGGCAGAAGAAGGTGTGTGACAGCACAACACAATTGCCCCCCCTCCCCATGGCGAGGGTTCAAATGAAATCAGGGGCAAGGGAAGAGACAATACACTCAAATCTGCACACTGGATCCCTCCTGGCCTGTGATTCCCTCCCTCTAATCCCACCCCAAGGAACAAACACACACAATGTCATCTTCTTTGTTGTAGTTGGCAATGTCCTTCCGCAGAGTCCGGATGATGATCATGCTGAGAATCCCTGAAAACAAGCACAGAGTTCAGCTCAGAGGCTCCCACATGGCTGTGCTGCTCTCATGCTGTGCAACTACATGGCTCCCACCAACACACTGTTCTGGCTGGGAGAGGAGTTACTGAGTCATCAGCAAAGACAGAAACAAAACCCCAAAGAGCAGGGAAGGCAGTATTCCAGCTGAAATGGGGCACTGTGGCTTTCTTGTGGGTTTTTATACCCACTGGTAACTGCCTGACCCCACAGGACGCTGCTTGAACTGGGAGGCTTTAAATTGGTTTCCTGCTCCTTCTGACCAGGTTCAGATGTAGCCACATCCTCCTACTCAAGCCACCTGCAGCTAAGGCTTAAAGAAAATTCCTTGCAGATAATGATAAAGCCTTCCTCTCCCCACACATGCACTCACCTGAAAGGAAAAAGACAACCACAACCGAGTTAATGATAGAAAACCAGTGGATCTGCACGTCACTCATGGTCAGGTAGGTGTCCCAGCGGGAAGCCCACTTAATGTCACTTTCCTGAAAGAACAGGAGAGTTTTTCTCACACCAGCACATTCCCAATGTCTTCCACAACTCCACTGACAGACACTTGCAGCATCGCTGCCAGCCAGCTCCCCAGTACTTCCTCACCTCCCAGTGCACAGAGTAGGTGAAGAGTAACTGGTTCTCTTTAGTAGGATCTATTTCCTGAGGGGCAGAGCCCGTGGCTTCAGGCAGGGTGCACATGCTTTTCTCATCAGCCTTCAAGTCTGTAAGGGAAAGCATGGCACACAGTGAGCCCTTCCCTCAGACACCACCTCTCCCATGGAGCATCACCCTGAGGGCATTGGGCTGCAGTAATTCCAGGTGGGGAAGCACTCTTTCCTTGCTCACCTGCTCTGCAGTTTGCAAAACTATTCTCCTGACCAGCAGTGGAGCACCATTAACAAACTTTCAGGAAAGCTATGCACAGGGCTCTCCTTAACTGGAAGGATAAAAGCCAGAGGTTCTGAAGCCAAGGATCTGGAGCATGAACAAATCCTCTACTCCACATGATATGGTGAGAAACAAGACCTCTGCAGCCATGCCTGCTCTGCCAGAGGGGAGCTGCATGGGGTGATCCACACCATGAACAACTGCCCCTCTAGACACCCTTTTCCACTGGTTTCACTGAGGTTGGAGAGTTTTCCCCTAACTACTATTGTTAAATTTCAATCCCCCAGAACAGTTCCAAACATCCTGTGTGTCTCTGAACCAGCACAGAGTGTCCCAGTCAGGGAGATCTGTGCCACAGCAAGAGCTAGAATGCCAGACGTGCCTCATACCAGATGACACAGTGCAAAAAAATCCAACCCCAAAACCTCAAACTCAGATCTTTTTACAGGAATTGATTTTCCATGAATTGCTGTTCATAGATATGTCTGTATTTTTGGTACTTCCTTAAAAACAAAACAGTTTCTTATTCTTTTAGACTCATTTCTGTGCACTGTGAAGCAACAACTGGCACCATGATACATCAGTGGCATCTGACTTTTGTCTATACAGGAGATTCTTCCCCCCTGCTCCCCTCCTCAAGAGTCTCTTACCTTCTAGTTTAATGCTTTGGGGAATCACCTCAAAGCGCACCACCCTGTAGGTGTGCTCCTGGCTCTCTTCCACATCCTCTCTGTGGTAGTAAAGGATGAAGGAGAGGTGGTTGTGCAGGTAGAACTGAAAGAGTGACATAAAATAAAACATCAGCACTCCATGGGAGGAAGAGGCAAAGCTGAGAAACAACAACTGCAGAAAACAGCTTCAGTGAGGGAAAACGAAAGGCTCCAACACCAGAGATCAGCCAGTCTTGGGGGCAGTGCTTTTGCTCTGCTGAGGGGAAACCACTGCATCAGCCTGACCAAAGGTGCACAGTGAATAAAAGCAAGGACTCCTGGCTTTCCCACCTTTCCAGCACCACCCTCTTCTGCCCAAAAGAGACTTCTCTCTCATATTTCCATTAGTAAACCCTTTGGTTGCATTCCCAATTCTGACACGCTCTGGCAGACCTCTAACAGACACCCAGATCTCCTCCAGGCACCCTCACACAGCACCTCAATTCTCTACCTTGTTACCGTCCATAAAGCCAAGCCTATATCCATGCTCAAACTGCACATCCTTCTCCTTCTTCTTCTCCTCTTCCTCACGATTGGAATAAAACTCCAGCCGTGTTGCCACAGGGAGGTTATCAGCAATGCTGAAAACACAGATTTCAGATCAAATTTGTCCACAGCACCAAATTCCCCCAACACAAACCCGTGCTTGAGGTGACTCACAGGTGGACGTAGTAATCCTCCCTGATGCGCTCAGCGATGAGCTTGCTCTGCTCCACTGTCAGAGTGACTGGCTTGTTGGGAAAGTTGCACAGAACTTCACATTTCTTCTCCACATTCATGGAAACCTGGAAAGGTGTATTTACAATTCGGTCCCCTCGAAGAACCTCACCTGGAAAACAGGAAAACACAGGCAGGGTTGGAGACTGCCAGGCTTCCTGCTGCTGATCCTGCTGCCAGGCACTGTGCAGCTGGAGGGACCACAGCAGATATCCTTTGCTACCCCAGGTGCAAGGATAAGACTGCAAGTCAGCATAGCCACTGTGTTGGAAGTATCTAGCCCTGCTTATGAAGCAGGTTACATGCTCTCCTTCAGGACAAGCACTTCCTCTGTCCAACACATGGACACTGCCCTTTGCAGACAGCCAGCACACTGTGAATCAGGAGAAGCAGGTTGTCTCAGCTAAGCAGAAGGGACACTTGCAATTGCTTTTACCCCTGTAAACACCCCCCACACAGGTACACACCGAGGTTCTCAGCCTTGTACGTGATCTTGCTGGGCTGGCAGAAGGGCAGTGAGTAGTACTCATATGGCAGCTGGGTCCGAGAGCTCGTCAGCTTCACAGCCTGCAGGAAGCATGGAAGGATTATCCCCAGGAAAAAACTCCAGATAATTTCCTCTCCTCTCAGCATCATCATCCTGTAGCTGATGCTTACTTCAAGACACCTTCCATAAAACTCACTTCCAGGAGGTGGTACTACTACTATTACTACTACTACTATTAAAAATAGTAACAGAGACAGATGTTCCTGAGAGACTTCCAGTAGCAATTCATTCACAGAGAAACACTCAAAGAACAAAACATGATGGTTTCACAAATTTATGTCTCAATGGAGTCCTAAGAAACAACAAAGAGCTCAAAAGAGATTCAAGAGTCACATTTCATACAAGATTTCCTCAAACAAAAATTCATATCCCACTGGACCTAGAGGTCTGGCCTCCAGTGCTATGAAGAGTTCAGCAATTTTAATTTCTGCAAGAGAAGCCAGAGAGCCATCAGTCTGGGAAGACAAGGTGACCAACTACAAACATTCCTGGAGAGTTTCCACAAATCACAGGGTACAAGGGAAGTGCAAACACATACCACAACAGCCAAGACCACAGTTGCTCTGGAAAAAAGAAGTTTTGTAACACAGCCAAGCTTGTTTATTGGAAGAGTGCTGGCAAACACACTGACTTGCCTAAGCACTTGAGGATGCATTTGGCTCCTGAAATCCCTTTGAGAACAGCCATTCCAAAACCTTCTTCTTCTGGGAAGCTTACTGTAGCCACAGACAAGTCTCATTTGCTTAAAAATAGCCTAAGTCTGGCAGTCTGTGGCCAAAGAGAAAACTGTGCCCTGCTTCACGTGGGAGCAGCCAACCTCAGCAGCCCCAAGGGTGCTGGATTTGCTGAGACAGAGGCCACAGCTTTAGAAAAATAAATTAAATGGGCTATAAATCACTGATGTCTGAAGATAAAGCCTGGCTTCCTTGTGGATAGGTGCAGCAGCTCTGTCACTGAGCACCAGTAACACTGCACAGGAACAGCTCTCAGCAAGGCTGGTCTCAAAGATCTGCAAGGTTCAAAGACAAACACCTCCACTTGGGAAGAGCTTTTCATGGATTTCCCTGAACGCACAACATGAGCAAACTGGGTATTGAGATCTGATTCAGACCTTATTCACCTTCCACCCAAAGGAACACTCTGTGTAAACACTTAGAGTCAGCATAATGCTGGAGAAATTAAATTCACTTCAAAGCCACAGTGAGAAAGGGACCCTTTTCCCAAACAGAGTAGCATCTTGAGGACTTTGGTGCAACTGCTGAAGGAATTTGGTAGAAGAGATCAGAAGCAAGAAAAGGAATCATGTTGGGACCCAAATATTGTGAAACAGAGGAAATATCTGAATGCAAAATTTTAGCAACAACAGGATCCCCAAATTTAAGTTTCCAGCCCCTCTTAGCTGCTATGGTGTAAAAAAGAAAAAACCCAAAAGACAAAAAAAACCCCAAACCAAACAGACTAACAGCACTGAGATTATCCTACCTTTATTTCTACAGGATCATTGCGGTGGAAGTTGATGGGAGCCACCCCAGGTACATAGAACGAGTCTGTGCTGTGTAGCAACAACAGCAGGCCCAGCACATATCTCAGCCTTTCCTGCAAAAAGGAGAAGGAACAGTAAAATACAACAGAAACACTGGACCATTAGAGATGGGCAACAACACTGGAAATGTTCATCCCAGACATTAGAAAGGCTGCGCAGCCAGGTGATTAAACAGAAATTAAATTAAATTCACAAAAGCTGTTCTGCTTGTGACTCTCACCAAGTCACTTTCCACTCAGTGTGTCTCTGCCTCTCCATCTGCAATTAGGAAAACTTTGGCTTTGCTCAACCACAAGAAAAATGTCATTTTTACCTGCACCATGGGGCACTGAGCAAGCTTTTCTGCTTGCCCCCACTGAGCTCCCTGTGTTAGAAAACTCCATGGATTAGCAGAGAAGAGGGCTGTAGCCCTGGCAGTGGATGTGTGTCAGCTCTGCACAGCAGCACTTACCCTGGAGCTGAATACAGATGGATGCTCACAGCCACTACCTGCAGAAGAGTAGTTACTGTGGAGTCAGATGTGACACCAGTAACTGCACCCACAGGGATGTTCCCATCACCACTCTCTCCTGCTCCACTCTGCTTTCCTCACCCCTCCAGGCCACAACACAGCTCAGTAACATGGCAAAAAATTCTTCACCCCTTTTATAGGGAGCATGGTGACAAGTCAGGCTGCAAGGTTCAATCAGCTCCAGGAGAATCTCTCCAGGAGAACCCAGACCCCAACACAGACACAGCAAACCCTTTATTTAATACACCTTGCTGCTCCTCAGCCCCTCTCGTTACCTCAGGTAACCCAGCTCAAGCACGAGCAGGAAGGCTGTGCAATGAAAATCAAGCTTTAGAGTATTAGCCAGCAGCAGCTTGCCTGGATTAGGACATCAGTTCTGATATAATCTCACAGCACTACTAGCTTCAGCCCCTTCTCCTGAACTCCCTGTGTGTATGGCACTACTGGAAAACCACACAAAACATGGTTTGGGACAACTCTTGAGCTAATGCTGCCAAAGTAAGAAACCAAATCCCCACTGTTCAAATAAATAAAATCTGTGTTTGGCCCAGACAACTGTGAGGGCAAACCAGAGCATCCAGAATTAGTGGAATTGAGCAGGATAAAAAAAAAAAAAAAGGTAGAGCTATCAGGGGGTTGAAAGTCTAAAATGTATTTAAGATGCAAATGCTAGGCACCTACAGAAAATAGCAATACTGAATCATCAGATACATGTGGCCTTCCAGTACCTGAAGGGAGCCTACAAGAAAAATTGAGAGAGACTATTTACAAGACCACGGAGTACAGGACAAGGGGGAACAGCTTTAAAATGACAGAGTAGGGTTAGATTGTATATTTGGAAGAAATTCTTCCCTGTGAGAATGGTGAGGCATTGGCACAGGCTGTCCAGAGAAGATGCAGCTGCCCCATCCCTGGAATTGCTCAAGACCAGGCTGGATGGAGTTTGGAGCAGCCTGGGATAGTGGAAGGTGTCCCTGCCCATAGCAGTGGGGTGGAACAAGATGAGCTTTAAGGACCCTGCCAACCCAAACCACTCTGTGATTGTGTGATTTTTTTGCTTACAAAGGGGATTTTCAGATCTATTCTAAGCACAGCCAAATACACTTGGAGCAGGCATAAAGCCCCAGCTTGGAAACACTTGTTAAAACTGCCTGATATTCAGTAGTGATCTGCCTTGAGGCAACATGGGGCTTATTTTCTGTGCTACACCAAATTTTGCCTTTCCAATCTTTAAAGGCAGCGCTCAGTGGCTCTCTGCAGAGTAGGAAAAGGTCTCCTGGACAGGGGAAGCAGTGGAAGGAATCTGGATTCTTGTCCCACACTGCACTCCAGAGCAGCCAGCAACATTTGTCACTGAAGTGACAGACCTACACAATGCTACTCAAAACCCAAAACCACACCACTGCCACCCTTGCCCCAGCAGGCTGGGAGGTGACAAGACCAGGACAGAACTTTGGCAGACACTCAGGAGACACATGAGCATGCAGAAGATGAAATTTTTGATGACAATTTTGGCAGAAATCAGGCTGTCTTTGCATACAGATGAAGATGACTCAGGCAGCACCAGGCAACAAGACAAGAGGGTGACTCTGTAAAGCCTTGCCAGGAAAGAACAGTTGGTAGCAAGATATGGGGAAGCTGCTATGCAACAGGTGGAGGAAACTTTGGAAGCAAAACATGAAGGAAATGCCCAGCGCAGGTTCCTGAGCTGGCAGAGCACAGGGAAGCTGAGAGCAGGGGCCTTTCTCATCAGGACCTTTGCTCTTATACTGACAAACGTGCTTCATCTCCAAACGAAGGCAGCAGCTTAGAAACTGCAACATGGACACCATCCAAAACATCTCTGTAACTCATAGCCTGGCCAGGTGATTGTCTCACACAGGGGATGCCTGCAAGCTGAGTTCTCTCCTATGCCAGGTTAGAACTTCCAGGAGGGAGCTCTGTTTTGGTTCAGTCACAGAGCCCTGGCAAGGCCCAGGCTTCCAGCAAACAGGACACACAGCTTCACAGCCTTTTCCAAATATTTACATTTCAAAAACATGCACAAAACCCCCTCAAATTACAATCTTGCATCTGAGGTGTCAGGAAATCATGTAATGGTGCAACAAGTAGCACAACAAATATGCACAACTCTAGACTGAGAAAAACCCAGCTGCAAGTAGGCAAAAATAGTTCAGATTGCCTAAGCCTGATTATTTTCCTACATGCAGACATGCAGAGACACCCTTTCTTAGGAGAATATGATCTAAATAAAAGAAATAACTGCAGGAGCACGATCACCCATTCCTGTCCCTCAGATCAAAAGTTCACACATAAACCTTCTCCAAGAAGGGCCTTTTGGATAATTATCACTAGTTTTGGGGTCTGCAGACAACCTCGGGGTTATGCCATTAATAAAGACTTACAACAATGTTGCCATTTTCTGTGAATTCACAGAAGGTTCACAAACCATGTAAGCAAAACAGAGGGACTTGTTCTCCAAATCCCAGTCTGGCCCAGCATGAAGAGGCCCTGAAACATCCAGTTATTACCACACACTTGTCCCTCCCTAGGGCTCGTGGTCCCTCCAGCTACCACTGCCAGAATCTGACCTCCAGCATTTATTTAAGGGAAAGGGGAAACAGCAGCTGCTCCCTGGGGCACTCCACAACAGCTCAAATGTGTTCCAGAGGGTCCATGGCCTGGCCATGTGCACCCAGGACATCTCTGCCCAGGTTACTGTAAACAACTTGAAGAAATCCTCAAGCAGCAGCAATTTCAAGCATCTAAACTGAGCTGGTGCTGAAGTAGGGCTGGTTGAGGTCTTAAGAGTTTCACAATCCACACAGGAACTGAAGAACAGAACAAAGTATTTGTTCAAAGAGACAAAAAGGAAGCAGGAAGTGACAGTGATGGATATCATTAATTGTCTCATCTCTTTTTGGCAGAGAAGGGCAACAGGGACATCAAAGAGCCATAATCAAGAGCTGTTAATTTTCAAAGACAGCTTTGAAGAAAAACAGGGAAAACAACCTGTAAAGAGTCATTTGTCCAAATGGATTCACAGAGCTCTCCTATTCCATTTCCTTACTGAAACCTTTTTAATATGGTGACAGAAAGGGAGGAAAGCTCTAACCCACTACTCTGTGGGAGGGGAAAAAACCAACAAGCTCTCTGACACATGTAACCTTCATTCTGCCCTCAGGCACATTAGCAGTACTAACAGTGCTAATGGCACCCTTACGCTCATCCACTTTTCCTAGGGCTGCCTCCCTGGATGATCCTGTCAACTGTCTGGATGAACTCATCTTTATTACACCCCTGCCCTGCTCACCCTGCACTGGAGGAGCCACCGAGAGCTCTTCAGAAGGAGCCAAGTGCTCCATTCACATTGACTTCAGAACTCCTTTGACACCAGGAGAGCTGCCGGCTCTCTGCCCTTCGCATAACACAGCCACGAGGAAATTCCCAGTAGGACCATCCCCAGCTCTCACAGTCAGCTGAGCACTCCTTCCTCCCTGCCTGGGGGAAAGCCAGCAGAACATGAAGACACTTAAAGCAAATTAAAAGAAAACCTCGGCTCTCCCAATCCCTTCCCAGTCTCTCTGTGAGTCACCTCACAGCCCAGCCAGCAGCGACCTTTGTATCAGCACACATCCTTTACCCATACCGCTATTCCTGCAATGCATTGCCATAAAAATACCCTGCTATGAAAGCAAGGAGGAAATCCGTTTTACTCCTACAAGACCTCAAGGCAGATAACAGATGTCTCAGCAGCCTAATTTCTCCTCTGTGTGGTAGCACTGATGCTCACCAGGAACACCTTCAGTTCTCCGAGGATTCAAGGAACAATTCAATGGGAATAACAGGGATCCTGGGACGCGGGAAGGTGAAGCAGCTGCTCAAACCCGGACGCGACAACCACCACCAAACATTTGTGAAAACCACACACAGAGCAACAGCCTCCGTGCTCAGCACCAGCACCGGGCCCAGGCTGACACCTCGGAAGGCAAAAGGAAATGTCGGTGCTTCCTACAACCCACACCGCTCCGAACACCCCGCCCGGCCCCTCCTGCCCAGACAGCGCCGTGAACCGCAGAAAGGGAGCCAGCTTTGCTGCCGAGGGAGCGCGAGACAGGCGGGACAGGAACGCGCTGGGCTCCGCTGGACCCCTGGGCACCGAGCGGCGGCCCGAGCTCTGCCCGCCATAGGTGACACCGCCGGGAGACGCGGGGCAGCTGCAAGGCCCCGCGCGGGAGCGGGGAGCCTCCTCCGGCCAGGGGCCAGGCCGGCATCCCTCTCAGAGCGGCGCAGGCCCGACTGGAGCC